ATACAATACTATACTATGCAAAGCCACTAGACTACTTATGCTGCCTGTAATTCACCTCGATCTTATGTTTGTGATTTTTGTGTTAGAGCGTGTAAAGGATGTGTGGAAGAAGTCCACATCAACACCCGCACCGTGCTATGGACTCTTGGTGTTTGCGTTAGTTCTTGCCGGCACCATTCTGGCTACTTACCTTGTTCCTGAAAGAAAGGTACAAAATGTCTGTTTTGTTTTTATATATAAACCAGCTTAACCCTATCTAGACCGGGCTTTTTTAAGCAAGATTTGACCGGGGGGGGCTCTTTCCGGCCCCCCCCTCAGAACTCGCTAACGGTATGTCGTATGGCTACCAAATTTTCAGAGGATAGTGTACTAGTTAAAATTTATCATATCTACAATTTTTTGTCATTATGACGTAATATGACGTCATTATGACGTCATTAATGGGATTTTATTGGCCAAAACCGTCTAGATAGGCTATTCCCTGAAAACTAAATGGTATTCAACATAACTTTACCAAAAGTGTTTATGACAGAATATTAGAGTGTACTAAGTCGTATGTTGCCCATAGCAACACCGGTGACGTCATAAAATGACGTCATACATATTTAAGATATCCGCCATCTTGGATCATCAATGTTGAATTTTCAAAAATAGTTTTTTTTCGTGATAAAGCCTAAAATACATTGTAAACATACCAAAGACCTTCATTTAAACCTTTTTTGGAAAAAGAAATGGAAGTATTGATGACATTTTAAGGAAAATAACTTGTATATACCTGTTCTAATGATATGGTCCGCCATCTTGGATTTTGGCCAATGACGTCATCAAATTAGCATAAATTATGCATATTTAATGATAAAATTAACATAAATTCATATGGGATGTTATTAATATTAGAAACCATGAGTAACTTGACATAAAACCCATAAAATTCCATTCTTGAAACAAAAATGACTAAATTTAGCAAAAAATGCCTGTCAGAAACCCGTTGCCATGGCAACACAAAAAATTATTATCTTATTCCAATGATAGAAAATTGTTGCCAACAATATTTTAGGAAAAGTCACCAAGTTTGGTCATTCTAGCCCTAGCCATTCAGACGCTATCTGACATCAAAGTTGGCGCGGGCACTTTTAGCCCCCCCCCCCGGTCTAGATAGGGTTAAAGGTTTCAGATATTCTGATGTTGCTTCAATGTTACTTGACATAGGTCCCTGCGGTTTGGGATGGACCTACAGCCAGACGTTCAGCGCCTGTTACAGGTACATGGGCGGAGCACTGTCTTGGGGCGGCGCTGTACAGTCCTGCAAGGTGAGGCGTCTAAAGTCATGGTCACTTGGTTTTAGCCATCAATTACCGATTAAAACTATTCACTCAATATAGAATGCGAGATATCAACACATAGGAGTGATATACCACATGCAATCTTGAAATTAGACTTTTGTTAACAATGATAGTAAAATCCGGCAACTTTTCCCTTAGGCTCAGTATTCTGTACTATCCAAGAGGTTTGATGGTCCAGAAAGAGATTTCATCGACAGCTCGCTGATCGCACGAAAAGTAGACTTCGTACCAGATGTGCCTGTCTGGATGGACAACGAAATGCAGGTATATCTTGAAATGCATAAGAAGAAACTTGAAACGTATAGTATACATTCCCATTTCCAACATCTAAAATAATCACAAACTAGATTTTACTGACTTCCATGTTTCTACATGCATTTCCAACAATCTGCCGTATGTAAGGCAATTTGTAATCTATAATTGTACATACATGTAAGTATATATTTTGTTAACATTTGTCTTTTCTGTCATTTTTCAATAGGGGCAGGAAAATGCAACGGTGAACTGTAAAGTATATCTTCGGGACTCCCAAGAAGCTGTTCAGGGTGTATCGTGTAACTCATTCTTCCCATACATCTGCAAGAGACCTGTTGGTAAGGGCCCAATGATTTACATGTACTTTGATTCTATACTTACTCATTGCTACACCATTCAGTAACAAATTTTATTGTATGATGAACTTCTTAACTCCAGGTACGTAGTATTTTCTGTGTACGTGTTTTTTTATCTGTAAGTGTGTGTGTGTGTGTGTGTGTGTGTGTGTTTGTGTGTGTAAGTGTACGCACGCTCGTGTGTTTTTGTGCCTGCCTGTGTATCTGTAAAGCCAGTTAATTTAGCACGTGGGTGGGTTCCATTATAGCTAACCAAATACTCGGGCACAGAACCTCAATATGAGGGTCGCATTACGTTGGCTCGTATTATTGATTAAAATATTTGCGCGAATTAATGCACAAAAAGTACCTCAGACTTTCATGTTTTTTGTTTTTATTTTTCATGACAGTTGATGACTGCCCTAACTACTGCTCTCATCACGGACGTTGTGAAGGAGAAACCTGCATCTGTGGGCGAGGCTGGGAGGGAGAGGACTGTTCTAAATTCACCTGTAAAGACAGGAATTTCTGTGGAGAGTTTGGCACCTGCGTAGGACCGAATATCTGCAGGTGCCGAAATGGATGGCAGGTGCGAACACACATTGTTTAGTATCAAATGTCTTTGCGGTGTGACAATGGTCTCCGTGTATACGTAACACCGTCAAGTATTAGAATGCAATCTTTCTACAATCTATCTCCTACATCCGTGGTCCCAAAGTCGCGCACTACAGTTCCACCACAAAAGATTTACAGAAACAGCATCGTTAAAATAAGACGTTTCTTAACGGCATTATCTCTGTCTGTCCCTCTCTCTCTCTGTCCCTCTTTCTTAGTCTCAGCCTCTATATATATATATATATTGGTTTCTATCTATATATATCCAAATACCTATATTAGCTCTCTCTCTCTCTCTCTCTCTATATATATATATATATATATATATATATATATATATATATATATATATAGAGAGAGAGAGAGAGAGAGAGAGAGAGAGAGAGAAGGATAGATATAGATATATAATATAGATATTTGGATATGTATATAGACAGATACCAATATATATATATAGAGAGAGAGACTGAGTGAGAGGAACAGAGACATATTTGGATATATATCGAGATTGGTATCAAATATACATTTTATTGCATTCCACATCAACATGAAAAATTCCTTCAATCTAGGGGCGAGCATGCACCGTCAGCTACTGCAACAGGTTCACCAACTGCAGAACCTGTACCCGGGAGGTTGGATGTGGATGGTGTGAAGAAAGACAGAGTTGTGATTCCGGGCTGTACAGAGGACCGGACGTATCACCATGTATGACGTCGTGGTTCTACAACAGCTGTTTCACTGTGGGGAAAAGGGACAAATGCTCCAGCCAAATAGAGGTTGTTTTTCTCATAACTCACATGATTTCATTGATAATTAAGAACTGGCAAAGGATGAATAAATTTCGTGGAGTTCTTTGCGTCAGATATATGCCTTTGTTGTTTTCATTTTTTCTTACGTACGTTTTGTATATCGATTCACCAGGTTCTTGACTGTGAGCAATGGCAATGCAACCCCTCCCTGCCCACAACTACCGTGGAATCATGTCTAAGATGTCAAGATGTAGAAAACTGCTTTAAGGAATTGGTGAGTTGTCAAGATAAATACTCTGTTTTACCATCTGGAATTAATGGTTGTTTATTAAATTTGATTTTTAACATGCTGTATCTTTTATAGGAAGCTATAGCATAGGAATAGCATGTGACCCTCAATTGAGGCCAATGAGCTGTATTTTTGGTGTGGTAATCTTTGTTACTTTGTAAAACGGCAACTTTGTTACTTTGGCAAACGGTATACTGCACAAGGTGGAACAAGTAATAAAGAAAGGTAGGGAAACATGTAACGATTGTACCAGTTTAAAACAATAACTCAAGCACCTTGATATAATTTTGGAAGACCTTTCAGGTAGCATCCACTACCTTTCGTCAGTGACACTAGAGAACTTGTGCGGAAATGCAGGTCTATAAGAGCATTTCTACACAAGTTATCTAGTGTCACTGACGAGAGAGAGTGGATGCTACCTGAAACGTCTGACCGTTGCCAAAATCACATCCATTTGCTTGAGTATCTGTTTTAGCGTAATCTTATTACATAGACGTCTCACCTTCACTAACGATTGTAATCGTTACGTATACTCGAGACAATGTTTCACATATATCCTTTTTGGGTTTCAAACATATTGATTGTACCTAAGCTTTCAAAACAACAGAGAATTGTCTTGCGTTTCCGCTACAGATAGTTACACCGTAATAGTGGCGCACCCTGCTACTCTGGAGGACATGCTGGATTACAGTGACTTCAGCCAGGAGGTTCAGCTGGAGATGGCCGTGGACATGAAGAGGAACGAGGGAGCTCCTGAACTGTCTGAGGTGGAAAGGGTGCTGAGTGGCAATGGGACGCTTGATGGTAACACTGTTCGTGTCATCACGGAAGGTGAGTATCGGAAGATTTTTTGTTTGTTTGAGGGTTTGGGGGTGTGGGTGGGGCTCTATACATGATGAATAGCATCCTTAATACAAAACTACACATGAGCAGTACAGGATTGTTGGCGTACAGAAAAATAGTCTCTTCAAGTTGAAATATTGATCTTTTGAGATGTGTTCATTACCTTTTACTTTCTTGTAGACATTTGAATATGACCGGAGTACGATGGTGAGAGTGATGTGAAAAGTAATATTTTCACATGAAATTGAAACTTGCCATAAATGTTTTGAAAAAATACTTTACAGATGCCCCTGTTTACAAGTGTATTGGATCCCGGGCTATGAATAAAGGAGAGGGCAGCTACCATCTGCTGATGAGAGACATCCCTGACAACCTGTCAGTTGGTGACGTCATTGTTAGTAACCATAGCAACGGGATACTGGAGCAGGTTATCCAGCAGACATCAACACCGCTTGGTGTCTTCATACAAACTCAGCTGCAGGACTGCTTCACAACTTTTAAGTAAGTTGAAGTCATTTAAGCCCATGGTAACCCGCTGGGCTGCAGCTTTCCTAATACAATTGTCTGCCACAGGCAAATCAGCCGCAAAAAGTATGGGAATGTAGCAACCAGTCGTGTAACAGATCTTTATATCAATTACAATAATGCAATGGATGGATTTTATCATACTAGCTTCCGAAAGGAACTGATGACGACGGACGGAGTAACCCTTCCTGCTTCCCTGCCGTGTTCGGGCGGACCGGAGGGCGCACACGGACTGCTCATCGTGGACTCTGCGGGAAGAGAAGTGGACCTGGAGACTGGCGACGTGGTGGTGGGGAGAAGGAGTGGCAGGCTGCTGGCAAAAGTGAGTAAATTCGTGAGATGGTTAGTTGGTCGGCAATTCCAATAACACTTGTAAGTTTTTAAAACGCCTGACTTTGTTGCCACCAAAGTTTCCATGACCGTAATCTAATGTTAGAAAATCCTCTAGGTTCTGAACATTACCCCAGCGGGTGAGTACACATTAGTGGAAGTGGAGCCAATCCTGAGCAGGTCCACCATGACAACGCCGTCAAGAAGACGACGACGGGAGGATGTTACCGCTTCTCCAGCCAAGCATTCTTTGGACATCGTCATCGATGACCAATTCTCGGTATGGCTGTTTTACCGTATCCGTAGGCAGAAATTGAATATCGTCAGATGCAAAGAACATAGCATATGTACATCGGAGACAAACCGTACTCGCAGATTTACTATGCAGAGATTTGATATTGGCAAATTCAAGGAACTTACAATATATTTTTGACAAATAAAACGCTTAGTTTCTGTTGGAGAAACTTGTAACGAAATTTCAAAAGAAATGAAGCGAGAGACAATTTATCCCGAACTAAACCACATGTTTCCTTTTTTAATGCGATGTAAACATCCACTAATTAATTACTTTAGAGACTAAGGAAATACGACACGATCTACCCACAGGAACACTACGCAGGAAAAACAAAATGATATCGACACTTCCGACTGTAAATGTTAAATATTGCATGCAATATATATGTAATACATGTATGTGTGTGTGTGTGTGTGTGTGTGTGTGTGTGTGTGTTTGTGTGTGTGTGTGTGTATGTGTGTGTGTGTGAGTACAACCTTACGTAATACAATATTTTTTTTCAGGACTCCACCGATAGTTACAATATCGAACTATCTACAAGTGGGCGGCTCTCAGCTGATATCAAGCTCTCGCTTGAAGTTTCGACGTCAGAGTTTAAAACACCCACGATTAAAAAGGTCGGAGCTTTCTTCATCGGTGGAAAACTACAAGTGGGAATGGGAGGTTCTTTAGACGTTTTGAAGAGGTAATGTAGGTCCAGCACAACCTGCTTACAAAACCTATCTTTAGTTAGAGTCTTTATCATCTATTTGTGGAGGGGATAAAGACTTGGTAGCTAAAATAGGTTAGGGATCCAGGCATGGCCCATGCCCAACAAAACATTTTATTTACATTCTTAAAAATACCTTACCGTAACAAACATCACAATATGAGCTGGAAAAGAAACCGTTATCTGAGATACAATATTGCTTTGTAATATGATTTATTCCTGTGTTAAGCGATATTTGCCGTTCTGTGTTGTATCTATTGATTTGAATCGTTTCCATCCGCTCAGGACATGGACCCATGGCAGTTTCCGGACGGACCTTGCTCCTATCTATGTGTCCCTGTATGTAGGCACACAACTGTGCATACCCGCCAAAATATGGGCACACATCGACGCAGAGTATAAAATCTCTGCTGAGGTAGGTACAATTAAATCGGTTTTTAAATGCAATAGCCAAAACAATATTGTCATAACACCACCACAACACCAATGTTTTGATACAAAATACGCTACTATGAGAGGCGCTTTTCTTTAAATATCCACTTGGTTTTGCTGTATATTTCTGTGTCAATAAAATGTTTATTATCACCATTATCAACATGCTTATTATATATCTTTTAATGTAAAATGATCATAACCCTACGTCCACCGTAACTCTATTTTAATCAATCCTTCAGGGTCCAGGCAGTATACAGATGTCATCCACCGTGACCAAACCTGACATTGACGGCGGAGGTAGCTGGCAACCTCAAAAAGGAAGTCAAATGTTCGAGTTTGACCAGAATGAAGAATCTGTGAGTATTGTACGATATCCAGCACCTTGTATAATCATATTTCAATTGACTAAAGCGTTAGACAACTCTTTACCTGGAACGTATCTGTTTTACGACTTATGACAATTTTAAATTATTCTCTGTGTTGCTCCCCTGTTCTAAAACCTTTATAATAACAAAACATTCGCAGTTGACAAAGTTGTATTTTTTTTAACTGAAGGGCACTGCAAAAATTGGGATATCGTCTTACTCGGGAACAGCAGCTGAAAGTGATCATCTCATCATGCTGGAGCTAGAAGTCAAACCAAGGTTTTTCATCGAGTTTCCCACCTTTGTTGAAAATGAAGTCAATGGTTGGACCAGCCCTCTAGGTACGCCAGTTTCTATACATGTTATGGCCCGTGTCTATTCAATTATGAAGAATAAATGTGAATTATAATATGGCTACGTACAGTGTTACCATATATCAGTATATGCTAACAAAAATCAGTCTTTTTTTCGATATTTTATCTCTGTCCAGAGTTGAAAGCCGAAGAGGACACTTTTGGGTACAGTATCACCACCTCCATTCAGTCCCAAGCACTTCTGCGTGTATCAGCCCAGTCCTGTTCTACTGAGTGCCCGTATTCGGACAGACCACAGAACGTCGGCGTCATGTCATCATTGGACTATCTTAAAGGGGCCTTGAAGGTTACAGTTGGAAACGACGAGTATTATCAGGAACAACTATGGAGACGTGAGGAGTGGATGGACTCTGACAGGTTAGAAACCCCCCTTGATTGTTTGACAACAACTGCCTTTGGGTGTACTTTATGTAGGTTGCCCCAGCTACTACATGTGTATGTTTGGGTACAGAAATTCTTATCTAATATGGGAGCAAAACTAAGACTTTAAACTTAAAGTGGTCTATCAATGATTCAATAAACATTAACAATAAAAGTATCTAATGTACATTAATCAATCATTGTACTATGTTTCAGAGACTGCAAAGAGCAGCCGTCCCGCATTGATACCTGTAGTAACAGATGTTTATGCTCTGGTGGAGCGACAGGGGTGCCACACCCTACTGACGAGAGCTTCTGCATGTGTCCTTGCAACTGTGGAAGTGCAAACATAAGCTTCACGGTATGAATAGTGTTCCTTATGTGTAATAAAAATTCTCCAACATGCTAACAGAGATTGCCATATAGTCGGGTGACGTTGACCAATCAGAAGTCTCCATTCCACATTCCTTATGACGCCGTAATGTCACAAATCGAGCCAAAATCGGGTCATTATTCATTTCAATCCATACATTAAACAATCCAATAATCACCCGCATATGACCTCAGGTGACCCAGATAGGACAAGATTCTGTTCCAAAACATTATAAAATAACTTGAGTGGTTTTCCAATCACCTTGGGTGACTTCATTAGAACACCTGTTTCCTGCCTATGACCCAAATAGAACATTACCTTCCTCAGGTGACTCCAGATGGAACACATGTTCTTTATAAGTTTGCATATGCTCTCCAGGAATGTGTCACTCTTACTGTGTAAGTTTTGATAGGCTATATGATTATAGCGTTACTCGGCTAGCGCTCACTCGGTGGCTTTATTCGGTGGTTATAGCAACTGACAAGGGTTTATTACACCATATTCACCGAGATAGGGCGGGTTATTAACCCTTAATTATTAGTCCATGTATCATACTTAATTGCATATCGTCCCTAGATGCAAGTCACGATCAATGCACAAAGATTACTTACGTTACTCAAAGTTTCTCTCGTTTCTTCAAAACAGCATCCGGACATTTCCGGTGGCGGATGTAACTGTCAGCTGTGTCCCGATGGAGACTTCAAAACGGTGAACAGTCAGGGGCATCTACACTGCCCATGTCTGTGTCCTGACAACAGCATATCGGAACTGACCAGCAGTGGGGGATGTGACGTAAGCATCGCTATGTACCATATATGTTACATAATATCATATGATATACCGCAGTTTTCATTGCTCAGTTACATTCTACTTTTGAGTTCATGGACTGATAAAAGTTTTTCAGAACGCTATAATACATGCTTAAATTTAGTGCTCGGTCAAAAGTGGGGGATTCTTCTTTGGACCGAATCACTCACTGCAATGCCTACGTCAAAGGCGATTTTGCTCATCATTCCAGGATGCTCATTGCTGGTCAATACTGACTTCCAATTCATCCTGTGTTCACAGTGTTCCTGCACCTGCCCAGATGGTAGCAGGGATGTGGTGCTGAGTGACGGCAGCTGTCCGTGTAAGTGCACCTGTAACAACTGCCACGAGTCGGTTCTGGGTCCTCAAGGCTGCATCTGTTCTGATAGGTGAGGTACTGATTATTTAGTAAAAACCCTACCTCTAGGTAAAGGAAAAGTCCTGATTATCGTGTTGATACACCGGAAACCCCATCAATGTGTAAATTGTAAGATCTAAGATTATTATGTCTCTTGAATAAGATGTAACGCTGGATCCTTGTACTAATGACTCCTAAGGTTTAAAATTTCCTAATGGCTCATAAGACTTTAAATGTATTTAGTTTTAGAGACGATGTGCATACATTTTTCTCTAATACAATATGCCTTTATCAACCTGGCACAGCTGTCCTGATTGTGAGAATGACGAGGAACCAGAGTGGCAAGACTGTGTGTGTAAGTGTCCACAGAAGACAGAGTGCGGGATCCCACCTACATGTGTGGTGGGGAGGATGGGGCCGGACTGTAGACAGCCAGACTGCAGGCCATGCCAAGGTAAAGTCATATATCAACATGCCAGGAGCATTATTTTGATGGGGTGGGAATCACACTTGGTTTAAGAATCATGTAAGAGATTCATTGGTGAAAAGTCACCTTGATTAAAGCTCCCCGTTGCCAATTCTTTTAAGGTGAACTCATATATCTTTCATTAGGACTCTGTATGTACTTTTAGACGAGGTACATGTTTGCTTGCTGAACTGTTTAACCATTATAGGCTGCTCCGGAAACGGCCGGTGCATCACATCAACACAGAGCTGTCAGTCATCCTGTGTGTGCTCGCGTCAGTGGTTCGGCGACTGTTGTGAGCTGCGCCGTCCTCGTCCTATTGGAGGGGACCCTCATCTCCAGACACTGGACGGTAAGGATTTTTTCCTAAGTTGTGTTCTTGATTATCTTAAATGGCATCTGAGTCTATTTCAGAGATATCTTGCGCTGTTTATCTTGTGATTGAGACTTGACTATTCAGGATGGCCCAAAGGGAAACAATATGTACAATAACTAATTTCCCCCTAAGATAAATGAACCATGTTTTAGCGTTTGGTCAAAACCTCAACGGTTCTTCCTGATGCCATTAATAGTTGTTTTCCTGTTAGGAAAACCATACGACTACCATGGCATTGGTGAGTTCTGGGACTGTAAGAGCGTCTTCAATGACTTCGGCGTTCAAACCCGGATGTACGCGTATAAAGGTGCTTCCCTGATTGGTGGAGTTGCAGTGAAGGCTGGGCATAGTGTTGTCACCCTGATGACGTTACCAAATGCAACTGAAAAGGACGTCCCAAACATAAGGTGAGATTTCCATTGTATCTATGTGTATAGCTAATATGATTTTGTACAGTAAATATGTGTTCATCAACCTTTCCCATTGATAATGATTTACCTTTGAGGTAACAAGTAGTTAACTTCAAGATATAAAAACGTATTTCAATGGCATGCTTTTAATTTGGTTGATTCAGGATCGACGGCGAACTGTGTCAACTTTCTGCTGGAGAGAAATATCCCCTGAACAACGGAACAATACATATGCTCGCTCAGCAACCTTCTTCAAACGCTACGGAATCAGGGGCTGTTATCATCGTGTCTATCACATTTGCATCAGGTAATGCGAACATAAATCGATTACTAGTACTTTTATAGCTGGCGAGATTTTTCCAATGATCTGAACGACATCTTGTTTTTCTTTCCTTTTTGAAACATTTTTTTTCTCTGTACTTTTCATTGATAACAACAGAACCAACAATTCTAATGATCTCCATCTCACCCCAAACAACAAGGTGCAACTGTGTCATTTGACATCCGGTATTCACCAAAGATGGGCCGACAGTTTGTGAATATTTTGTTCAGCCCAACTGCCACGTTCAAGGGCAACACGGAGGGACTGTGTGGGCTCATGGACGACGATGGTGACAATGACTTCACTGGTCCTGACGGCACTGTGTACAACGACACTTCTGTATTTGCTGAAACTTGTAAGTATAACCATCTTCGCCCATCACATCTGTCAACAATACTGGCCACCGTTGCTTTCTATAGTTACTCTCGCCTGTTTAGTGCTTGTGAACTGTACTTACTTAGTTACTTACTTAATGTCATGGTCTTCATTCCTTGCGAGACATTAGGCCTTGGTTTTTTTTCCATCTGATTCAGTCCTTGGTCATCTTCTTTACTGATCGCATGTATAATCTCATACTCGTAGATACCAAGTCATCCCCCAGAGTTCTTTTCCAAGTGGTTTTGTGCCTACCTCGTTTCCTTGTCCAGTTGATTACTTTATTATTTTCTGTTCTTAGTACTGAGCCAAACCGTTTTATTTATTTTTCTGTTGACTGGCTAATGCCTAAGACTACATTGTATAAAAAATTATAACACATACTTTGAAGATCTTCACTGTCATCTATTTGTTTCGACACTTGCTGTGACATTTGTTGTTGACTTTCTAGGGCGGATAAATAAAACCCACCACGGCTCAGGTCTGATGGGGTCCTGGTCATGGAACTCTTCTAACTTCCATCCTGATGACGTCATGGATCCTGCCTATTCTGACCCGAACCACCGCCCTTCTGTCGGCATAGATGGACTGACTCAGGAGCAAAAGGGAGTAAGTGTCTGGACTTTGGTCTCTTTATACTAGCAACGGTTCAACGGTTTCATTTTACTAAGAAGTTGAGACACAAGTATACCAATTACTGACTACAGTATAGCCCTACATTGCTGTAAAAAATGTACGATGGATTGTAACTTACAAGATTCCTGTTTTATTTTCGTTTCAGAAAGCTGAAGAAATGTGTATCGCTCTCGGGTTGACCGGCACACTTCTTAATGAATGCGTCTTTGACGTGTCAATCACTAACGACACAACCTTTACTGAACAGGAGGTTTTTAAAGGTATAACGTCGCCTTACATTCATTTTGCTTCCTTGGTTCCTCTAAATCTGTAGTATTGTATGTTGTTGTTGTTTTTTCACATAAAAGTATTAACATCAGAACTTCATTCTCCCTTGCACGTAACTATGTTGAAAACCTTGATATTCTGTTGCACTTAATTCTTATATCTGCACCCTCACAGGTTGTCCAAACCAGTGCTCTGGTAGGGGTCGCTGTGTGAACGGAACCTGTGACTGTATAACGGGCTGGTCTGGTGAAGACTGTAACGTTGGAAACTGCACAGACTGCTCCGAGGATCACGGGAAATGTGAGCTGGGGTTTTGTATGTGCCTGCCCGGATGGGAGGGAGCAGCCTGTGCTCAACAAGGTAATGTTGCCAGCGTTCTTTGAATGGTGCTATGCATGCATTTTACAAAAAGGATATTATTATGCTATGTGTCTACAAAAATTAAGTTAATCTCTTGAAATTCTGCATTATAGTTAGTAAAATTGGAAAACGTCCATTTGTAAAGTATTCCATAAAAACACCAGTGCTTACGTTCGATTGAGTTATTACCATCTTTCTTTCATTCACTGATAATTAGAAACACTCGAGCTCAACATGTAGCGCTTTACAAATCACCCCATAAGAATGACCTTCTTCATATCTTCTTACTCTCTTATGACAAAATATCCCACAATGGCAGGTGATTAAACGGCATTCTAATCGCTTATTCTATTTTGTCTATTTCAGCGACATGTTATGCCGTCAAAAACTGTACCAGCATGAGTCACGGGATCTGCATTACCACAGATGTCTGCAGATGTGAGCCGGGCTACATCGGTAGGATAAACATAATGATGTCTTGAATTTTGCATATAATTTCGACTACGTACTTACAAATACTGATATTCCAGTACTGAACTGATTTTTAGAATTTGGTAAACTAAAAACAAAGCCTTTCTTCCAGAAGTTTATTAATCACCAAAAAGCAGTTACTCAAGCAACTGGATATGATTTTAAAAACGCCAGACGTTTCAGCTAGTTACCACTAGCTTTCGTCAGTGACTGAGAGACCAGAGGGGAAATGCAGGTTTATAAGCACTAACTATTGATTGATATGCAAATAAAGTGAAGACAATTTTGTTGGAAGTCGAAAAAGGAACAAAAGTCAGACAAGTCAAGACAAGATGATGCAAATTAGTCAGAAAGATCCTGTTATACAGAACAGTAGCTTAAGTGTTGTCTGTCCTCGGGACTGGGAGCGCTAAAAACAAGTGCCGGAGAGATCGACCCGTAGCCCCCCTTCCCTATTGAGGGTGGGTTTGTACATCCTTTCATATATTGCCTCTTTAACACCCCGTTCCCACCAGCGTGTTTCGCGGTCTAAGATATCTATGGACTCAAGTTTGAAAGAGTGACCCTGGTTGTGTTGTAGGTGGTGGAAAAAAGCTGAGAGTTCTCTGTATCTTACTTTTAGCGGTCGACATGTCTCTCCGATGTAGGTGTTGTTACAGTTGGGCTCCTCGCATTTGGGTCTATAAATAACATTCGCTTTGCCTTTGGTACCTTTTTGAGGTCGGTCCTTAGGGTGTACCAGTCTTTGTCTGAGGGTTGAGTGAGGTTTGAAGTTAGTGGCTATGTTAAAGTTTTGGAAGATCCGTCGGAGTTTCTTAGATACTCCTTGGACATACAGAATATTGATGCTGACCTTGTTTTTGTTGGTCAATGGTTTGCACTCCTGGGTTTTTTTAGACTGATCCGAAGGTTTGAGCGCTTCGATGAAAGTCCAGTTTTTGTAGCCACACTTAGCCAGGGCACCTCGGAGGTGTCTATGTTAATCCGTTTTGGCTTGGTCTGAAGTGATGATGTTGTCTGCACGATGGAAGAGAGTTTTGATCACTGGTAGTTTGTGTTTCAAAGAGTGGTGGGAATCAAAGGCAAGGTATTGATCAGTGGGCCGGGTTTGTTTCCTGTGTACACTTCGAAACGAAGGTTACCATCTTCCTCTACGATAGTTTTGGTGTCTAGGAAAGGGAGCATGTTGTCATGACTTGGCTCCTGTGTAAACTTGATGTTGTCATCTATCTGGTTGATGTGGTCAAAGAAATCAGAAGCTACCCTCTTTTTTCAATCTGCACCAAGTGTCATCTATATATCGAAACCAGTTGGCCGGGGGAGTGTCATTGAAAGTGCCGAGGGCTTTGTTTTCAAACTTCTCCATGTACAGGCTTACAACAATTGGTGAAACTGGTGATCCCATAGCGCTATAGCACAGCCGTGCATTTGTTAGTAGAATGGTCCTTTGTAGGTAAAGTATGTGCATCCTAAGTAGAGTTCTAGTAGCTCACAAACTTGGTCAACGGATAGGTTGGTTCTATCTGCAAGTGTATCGTCGGCTTCCAATGCTTCCCTGACTACTGACACTGCTTCCTTAGGTGGTATGGAGGTGATGGTTTCATCATCCTCTACATGAATGTCTTTGATTTTGTTGACAAAGTCGGCACTATTCTGTACATAGTACTGAGATTTCCCCACTAGTGGTCCCAAAATCTTGGCTATAAAACCTGCTAACTCATAGGTGACAGAGCCTATACTGGAGACTATTGGTCGTAGAGGGACACTTTGTGGATTTTGGGAAGGTCGTAGAAAGTTTGTTCCGTTGTGGGATTGAGTTTTAGGTAAGTGGCGCGATCCAGAACTCCTTCAGTTTGCAATTTCTTGAGGGCTGTACTAATTTTCCCTTTAAACTTGTTTGTGGGGTCCTTTTTCAAGGGCATGCAGGTGTTTTTGTCTCCCAATAGGTCCTGTACCTTCCTGTCGTACTACTCCCTGCCTAAGACTACTGTGCATCTGCCCTTGTCTTCAGGAAGAATCAATATGTCTTGATTTGTGGCCAAATCTTTGAGAGCGATTCGTTCATCCCGTGTGATATTACTAGTACTAGAAGGGGGTTTGGAGACGTTCGGGGTGGTAGCTACTTTGGTACAGAATAGTGCCGACTTTGTCAACAAAATTAAAGACATTCATGTCATGCAGAGGATGATGAAGCCATCGCTTCGTATGACGTGTGCCCACTTTTCACCTCCATACCACCTAAGGAAGGAGTGTCAGTAGTCAGGGAAGCCTTGGAAGCCGACGATATACTTGCAGATAGAACCAACCTCTCTGTTGACCGGGTTTGTGAGCTACTAGAAGTCTGCTTAGGATGCACATACTTTACCTACAAAGGGCCATTCTACCAACAAACACACGGCTGTGCTATAGCGCTATGGGATCACCAGTTTCACCAATTGTTGTAAACCTGTACATGGAGAAGTTTGAAAACAAAGCCCTCAGCACTTTCAATGACACGCCCCCGGCCAAATGGTTTCGATATGTAGATGACCATTGGTGCAGATTGAAAAAAAGAGGGTAGCTTCTGATTTCTTTAACCACATCAACCAGATAGATGACAACATCAAGTTTACACAGGAGCTAAGTAATGACAACATGCTCCCTTTCCTAGACACCAAAACTATCGTAGAGGAAGATGGCAACCTTCGTTTCGAAGTGTACAGGAAACCAACCCACACTGATCAATACCTGGCTTTTGATTCCCACCACTCTTTGAGTGGAACACAAACTAGCAGTGATCAAAACTATCTTCTATCATGCAGACAACATTATCACTTCAGACCAAGCCGAAACGGACGAAATAGACACCTCCGAGGTGCCCTGGCTAAGTGTGGCTACCAAAACTGGACTTTCAAGAGAGCGCTCAAACCTTCGGATCAGCCTAAAAAAACAGGAGTGCAAACCATTGAGCAACAAAAACAAGGTCAACATCACTATTCTGTATGTCCAAGGAGTACGAGTACCTGAGAAACTCCGACGGATCTTCCAAAACTCCAACATAGCCACTAACTTCAAACCTCACTCAACCCTCAGACAAAGACTGGTACACCCTAGGGACCGACCGCAAAAAGGTACCAAGTCGAATGTTATTTACAGACTCAAATGCGAGGAGCCCAACTGTAACAACACCTACATCGGAGAGATAAGTGAACCGCTCAAAGTAAGATACAAATAACAATGCAGACCTAGTGCCAACGGCTACTCCTCAGCTATTTTCCACCACCTACAACACAACCAGGGTCACTCTTTAAAACTTGAGTCCACGGATATCTTACACCGCGAAACACCATGGTGGGAACGGGATGTTAAAGAATCAATATATGAAAGAATGTACAACCCCACCCTCAATAGGGAAGAGGGGGCTACGGGTCGATCTCTCCGGCACTTGTTTTTAGCGCTCCCAGTCCCGAGGATAGACAACACTTAAGCTACTGTTCTGTATAACAGGAGCTTTCTGACTAATTTGCATTATCTTGTCTTGACTTGCCTGACTTTTGTTCCTTTTCGACTTCCAAAAAATTGTCTTAGCTTTATTTGCATATCAATCAATAGTTAGTGCTTATAAACCTGCATTTCTCCTCTGTTCTCTCAGTCACTGACGAAAGCTAGTGGTAACTATCTGAAACATCTGACGTTTTCAAAATCATATCCAGTTGCTTGAGTAACTGCTTTTTGGTGTATCGTATTACCTGGATGTCTAACCTTCATTGACGTGAGTTTATCAATCACCAACATCTACACCACCTAGGTGCTGATTGCAGTGTGGTTCCCACGTGCGTAAGTGTTGCTAACTGCACAGACCACGGATTGTGTGTGGACTACGATACCTGTCTGTGTGATGAACAGTGGACAGGTGACAAGTGTGACCAGTTCTCATGTGCAGCATTGGATTACTGCTCTGGTAAGCTCATATCCCGTGTGTCTTTCTCACAATAAAGTAAAGCATACGTGTTGATTTAAGAGGGGGCAACTTGGATAACATTCGATGGTTCGTAAGATTGTAATATCGATTACTGTAGTGAGGAAAACGTGTGTTTGTGACGCAGGGCACGGAAGCTGTGTGGACATAGACGTCTGCCACTGTGAGCAAGGCTGGACCGGCAGCTCCTGTGTGACACCGGACTGTCCTGAAGTTAACCAGTGTTCCCGCCAAGGAGACTGCGTTGGTCCGAACATCTGCCAGTGTTACAGCGGGTATCAAGGTCTGGACTGCAGTGAAGCCCAGAGTTGTCCTGAATTGCAAGAATGCAGTGGAAACGGGGTTTGCGTCAACAGTTCTAAATGGCAAATGGAATGCAAGTAAGTTTTTTTTTTAAGTCACGATTGTGATCTGTTCTAGGAGAAATTTCAAGGTGCTCATACACCTTAAAAGCACCCAAGCGTGTTCTTGGCAGAACAGTCAAATTTTCAACAATCATTTTTGTTGGTACAGAAGTAAGTACGGCTGTTTAAACCCTACATGTACACATTTGATATCCCTGCAATGTCGTGGACGAAATAAGCTGCATGCATATGTTTGCATCGAAGACTTGTTTTAAATATCATCCGGTGATACCAAAAATAAAAGGATTTCTAGAGTAGGTTGCTTTGGGGCTATTTCAAACGCATCAAGTATGTGATTATGACAAACGTGTGTCAACATCACAAAAGTTTCTTCATCCAGGTTATTTTTTATTGTCAGTCTGAAATTGGATGCCCTTGAAATAAAATTTACATGTCCTATATAATGCAATACTCCTTCCTAACATGTTTTCATCTGTTGCATTGGTGTTTCAGCTGCTTCCCAGGGTTCAGCGGCGCAAATTGTAACCACCCAGACTGTACTGAACAGAATAACTGTACTAACCACGGCAGCTGCATAGAGCCTAACCTGTGTCAGTGTGACAGTGGGTACACCGGGAACGACTGTGCCAACTTCTCTTGTGAAGCATTGCAGTATTGTTCTGGTGAGTACTGACTTCTTAAGTATGCTAATTCACTACACATGTATCGCACGTAATATTCCAATTCATGTTGATTTTTAATCATTGACACTTTATTTCATATATACGAGTAGTTCCCGCGGATATCTTTAGAAATGTATATTTTGATACAGGCCATGGAAGCTGCGTGAGGTTTGACACATGTGGCTGCGATCCTGGCTGGACAGGTGGATCATGTAACATTGCAAACTGCAGCATCAAAGGTGACTGCTCCAGCCAAGGCACGTGTGTCGCCCCAAACACGTGCGTATGCTTCCCTGGGTTCCAGGGAGAGGACTGCAGTGAAGAGAACCTACCCAATGAGCATCCCCCAGTCTTTCAGAAGGACAGATATGATGCCACAATGCCCGAAAACCATCCCGTTGGCTCACCGATTCTTACAGTTTTTGCAAACGATACTGACAGTGGACGTAACGGTGAGGTCAGTTACAGGCTTGCCCAAACAGGGTTGAACAGTGAAAAATTTGCAGTGCATCCTACTTCAGGAACCATAACTTCAGTCGTTGAGTTTGACTTCGAATCGTTGGAGCACGCGTCGTTCAGTCTCATTGTTGAGGCATTTGACCAAGGGGTGCCGACACTTACGGGATCAGCCACGGTAAACATAAACATAACGGACCAGAATGACAACAAACCTGTTATTAGCATTCCTCCCGAAACCGAGTACAATCTTCAATCCATCTCCCCGATCGGCTTTCACGTGACTACTGTCCACGCTTCTGATGCTGACAAGTCCGATGATAACTCAAGAATCACATACGGAATCACAAGTGTCAGTCCCTTCCTTAACATCGATGCCACAAACGGCAGTGTAACTGTTAGCAGTGCCTTGGAAAGTGGAACGTACGTATTGAGGGTCAGGGCGTCAGATCACGGTTTACCACCGAAAACAGACGAAGTCACTCTCCGTATGATCGTGACCAAAGTAAGCACAAACACAGCTCCGAAGTGTCCGGAAGATGAAAGTATTGAGGTTGCTTCTGGCAATCTTACAACAGGGTCGACAGTCGCGACTATAGAAGCAGAAGATGCCGACAACGGTCCAAACGGTGACATTTCCTACAGTTTTAAGTCCCTAACAGGAGAACTGGCAAGTCTGTTCGGCATTGACCCGTCCACTGGTCGGATTTACGTTGCGACTGAAGTGCCACAGTTAAACAGCACTTTCTCAGCTGTTTCAATGACAGTTGAGGCCAGAGACAACGCTGTAGATTCCTTGTCCTGTGAAACAAGAGTCGTTGTAATAGTAACTTCTCCAGAGTTCAGTGGAACTGTGCCAGATAACGTATTTCCAACTACAACTACGCCATTAACAACTACATCTGAGCAACAAACTCCACCTTTGGATGAATCTACCGCTCTGCCTACAACGGAAAGAGCGATTACAACCAAACGGTATGAAACAACGACACCTTTTGACAGATCTACCACCGGCTCTACAACCCATCAAGACATTACATCAGAGAAAACCGAAAGATCTACCGCCATTACTATAACAGAAAGAGCGACTACAACCAAACTGTATGAAACAAGGACACCTTTTGGCAAATCTACCACCGGTTCTACAACAAAGTCAGACATTACAACAATGGAAACCGAAATGTCAACCGCTATGATCTCACCAGAAAAAGCATCTACAACCAAAGAGGATGAAATCACGACCCTTTTGGCCAGGTCTAACACCGGTTCTACAGCACACCCAGACATTACAACACGGGAATCAGGTAGTTCTACAGCTCACCCTTCAACAGAAAGGGCGAAAACAACCAAAGAGTATGAAACAAGCACTGCACGGACAGCAACGACAGAAGGTAACTAAGGGTGTATTCGTCGTTTTATAAACATCTCCACGAGGTAAAATAAAACAACAACAATTGGTGGTGTGGTGTCACCTCGTCTAACATGATTGTAGTAGCAGTAAGGGAAGATGCAATTGTTGTTACTTGTTTACGTTGTGTACGCTCTTAATCCGACACATCCTATTGTCCTAGTACCCATGTCAGTGGAAACACGTTTGTTCAGAGGCGTCGTAAAGATCGAGAATCGAGAGTGGAAGGATGAACTGGAGGATCAAACATCTGATGAGTTCAAGACTTTGGCTACAGAGGTCCAGCAAGAGGTTAGTATAGAATGAATTATTATAAGATACAGCCCAAAACTCCATTTTGATCTTTTCTTTGCATTTCTAGGAAAGCTAATTCAAGTTTTGGTTTTACCTCCGTTTCCATAGCTGGATAATGTGTACAGGAACAGCGACCTTGGGGGCACATATCACTCTGTGGAGGTTACGGGCTTTTCGTAAGTTATTCTTTAAATTAATTTCTCAAAATTGATATCTCTTTTTTTTGTATCACACATTTGTGCTGTATTTTAATGGTACTGAATCTTTAGGAGATAAACTAATATATTTAGTCAATTGGCATTATGACTCAATAGTCGCATCTCACTTTCCGCGGCTCGTATAACGGTTAAGAACTGTAAGTGTTGACGACAATTTTTATATTATACCTCACATGTTTGTTGATTGGTTATCTTTCAGTCGCGGAAGTGTTAGAGTGGACTTCATGGTTCGTTTCAACTCACCCACGGCCACACCCATTGCTAGTGATGATGTCCTAGCTGTGTTGGAAGGAAGGACAGACATTGGCGGTCTGCAAATAGACCACACTGTCACCAGCATCTCAGGTACATGGTGCATTACCCCTTTTAAGCATTTTGTTGCCTTTGTGATAAATTCATAATGCAATAAATTTCTGTCTCTTTATGGTTTGATATCAAAGAAGAACTTTTTGTCGGCTTAACATGTGTGTAAATTTTAAATATACAATTATCAAGAATAAATAATAACAAAAAATAATTTCTGACATCAATAAACAACAAAATGATCGAAATGTTAATCGTTTATCCAGCAAGTCAAACAGACAATTCAAACAATCACATGGCTTAAATACCTTCATATATATTAATGTATCCTTGTCTCGTTTTCAGAGGTGACCGAAGATGGGGAAAGTTATGGTGAGCATATTTGTCATAGTTTTGTTGTTGATTAATCTCGAGTGAATAAAAACTATAATCTTATCAATGTCAGGTTTGTCTATAGACTGCAAAGTTATTGTCTAAAGGTGCAGTTTCAACCAGTCACGAATGTATTATAGAAAATGTATACATAATATACACCTATACGATGTAACAAATACGGTACAGGCCACTTAATGCACATCTCTTTAATCGTCATTACACGGTTACATTTAAGAGCTGTATATGTGGTATAACATGACAAATAAAGTTATTAGTAGCCTAGAGAGTACTGTTTGTAATCTCGTTCCGTATACAAAACATGCCCAGAAAGCATTTAGATAACAAGGTTGACTAGAAAACAAGATTATTATTAAGCTATAAAGATGACCAGATTCTTTTTTTCCCTTTCAGTGTGGTACAAGAACCCAATATACATCTTAGCCCTCTGTGTTGGTGCTGCAGTCATTGTCACAATTCTGGTAATACTGGTGGTTTGGCGTGCTAAAAAGGTACGAGCCATGTCACAAAATCACGACTTTTTAGGAGTATAAAGACCAGAAAAAAATAACACAGTTTAGTTAATCCTTGCACGAGGTGCCCCCATGGTGGCCTTTGAAGACACTTCTGTCTAGCGTGGTAGCCAGCATGCCACGGTCCTGCAGACCGACCTCCTCTTCCAGTACTGTCTTGAGCGGCATGCTTGGGCGCCCCCTTCTTATCTCGTAAGGTTGCAAGGGGCGTACTCCGGTCCGGCTTTAATAACTACAATGCGGTATAATGTAAAACACATACGTTCATGGCATCACAGATTGCTGCGTATCATTGAACAAAATGCATGCGTTGGGAAGTGCGTTAAAATATGTAAATGAAATAAACATTTAACTATTTCATTCTTTTTGTCATTGGCAGAGTCGTCGCAAGATGGATATAGCCAGTCACAATCAATGGCCTTCCCAAAATGCACAGCGCCTACTTCAACAGCGCATACTGATTCCACGTGCGAGGCTCTCGCGAGACTCTGCGAGACAGATGTACCAGAACCCGGTGTACAACGTTAACGAATGATTATGGAGATGTAAATACTATTCCAAGCGTTACAATGAAACCGTAGTTGTTGTTTTTTAAAATTTACAACTAATCAGAAATTATACAACCGCATATATATACAAATTAGAAAAGAATTACAAATAATTTAGAATGTTTTTAGAGAAATCGGTCTCACAAGTAACCGATATTACTTGAAAAGTGTTACTGTTGTGCTGTTTTAGCAAGTTTTACATTTATTACATAATTTGTTATTGGGTTATTTGGTGTTATTTGTTATTGGTAAACAGTACTGTTGTTCTGTTTTGGCAAGTTTTACATTTATTACATAATTTGTTATTGTTTTGTATCCTCCGTCGGGACGACAAGACTGATGATGATGATGTTATTGGGTTTATATATCTGTAATTTTGGTTTACAGTGTCACTTGGATGAGAATGTTTGCCCACAGTTTGTGTATTGTTCATCATCCTTTATGAACACAAGGTGATTATTTAGTGTTTAATTTACCTGTTGCCAGAGGATTTTCAACCTACATGCATGATACATAAAGTTACAACGTACCGAATTAAATGCCTTTTCAAAGTTAACTTTTACAATAATACCTAATGTCTAGTTTATTGGCAACATTTTGGTCATGAATCGTCCTATTATTGTTTTGTCAAGAGTTGTGTCTAATATATTGTACAGAATCATAGAGGTCCTGCGTTTTTTTATCTTATCTTTTATCTTGCCAGATGTGTATGCTGAGTTTCGAACTGTCATGTTTGTTTCCACTTTTGTATTTTGTGATATTGTATGAATATGGTAAAAGAGTATTTGTATATTTCTTGTGCCCGGTGAAGTATTATACAGGAATAAGGTATTACCTTACTGATATGCACTAATGTTAACTATGCACCTTCACATGATGCATAAACAAAAATGTGAGACTGAAATACACCGCATAATGGATTTGATTTTACATTCACTCAATATACACATTTTAACATATTAATTCAAATGTAAAAGTATTTTACACATAGAAACTTCGATTAACATCTGCACTTTATTTCTCCAAAAATATATAGACATTTAATGTACGATCTAAAAAAAATCAAATACAACGTGATCCACTGCAAATCGATGAAGCTCGGCTTAACCAACTACGTCACATCAGACAATCAATGTCAACTTTTTTTTAAAATACTCATTATCATCTTCATTAACATTACCTCTGTATTAAAACATACATGTAATTGAATACATGTACACTGTAGAGCACACTAGCAAAATTCACGAGGACTCTGACAATGCAATTGGGAAAATAACAGTTTTAACGATAACACCCCACTTCACTTTGTTTGAAAACGAACACCACACTTCATTTCTCTGGATTCAAAAAGCAGCGCAATTTGTCTCGTCTTCATCCCAAAAGGCACCGAAACTCTTTTTATCCATAGAAGCATTGGGCCATTCTGGATCCAAGAAAGCAAAGCACTTCTCCTTGTTCAAAAGCACCTTTCCATAAAATACAGTACACAACTTCTGTTTGTCCAAAAAGCATTCGCCGCCCACACAAAGTCACAAAGCCTTTTTCGTCTTTCTATTTAACAAAAAAATATAACATCCTTCGCCTTCTCTCTAAGTCCAAGACAATCAACTCCACCATGTTTGTTAGACTAATCTTGAGTTGTTTGTCACACGGCATTGCGGACAAGCTACCGAAGGAAGACACACCCTTTAGGAACAACTGCAACCTGTCCAGGAAAGTTCTACACGTCGAGTTCCTACTCAGAAAATGCCAAAATAAAGCTGCATTGGCTGACTGAAAAGGTATGTGTCTGTAACTGTGAACCATTAAACATATATGTACTGCATGTGTTGCGTAAACAGTTTGAATCTACGTTTCATTTACTGTGCGAAAGTTACTGTGGGAAAATTATTTATCGAAGGAAGGCTGGATATATCAGTGAGATATTCATGGCTGCTTTTAAAAAACGTTCAGAAATAGGTTAGTTCCGAAGAGGGTAACAGGGATACTGCATGCACCCTGGTTTTTACGTTTGGTTTTACTTTGGGTGACGTTTTACTCCGTGGACAAATTCTGCCAAACCAAAACAAGAGAATTCTAATTGACCATGACAATTTGCTAGGCCACAGTCCACTCATTTTTTTTTTCAATACATTTTCGCCAAATTTGTTGTTACTCCGTGAAGAAGGTCTGGACCTCCGGACGGAGTGTTGTGAGTAGCCATTTTCGTGTTCGCGCAGTAAAAACACTGGGTTCTCTTTGTGTAATCGGCACGCAATTTTATACGCCGTCTGCGGGCATGCCCGTGATGATGCTCGAATGTGTATTTTTGCCGTTGCTGTTTTCGCGGTCAATGTAATAATTCAAATGCATCCCTACAATTTTAAGGCAAATTGGGATGGTCCCAAAAAATCCGTTGTTTTGAATAGCGGGGGAAGTAAAAAGTTCAGGCAGATGTACGAAGGGTCAATAAGTGGTACCAGATGTTTTTCCCCCTGCTTAAAAGATGCTTAAGGTTTTTTGAAGATGTTCGCAGCCAAAACGCATTGTTCTGTACGTAGCATTTTTGTGTAAATGGGCATGTGGTGTACCATTATGTCCATGATGATGCACGTCTTTTTATTTCACCGTAGCAGTTTTGATATTGAAGTAAATGCATATTTTAGAAACATCCCTACTTTTACCATCCAGTGGAATAGGCCGTAGGTTTAGGTAGTTGTTTGGTAGCAGAGGTTTTGTAAGCAGATGTTAGGTGGCTGTTGTGCATAATGATGGCGAGTATCTTTTGGGATCGTGGTTTGCACCTACTGCAATACATTGTCAAATGAAAAATAAGTAGTAAATGAAAGATATTGTATTGAAAGCTGACTTTGTTTATCTATTTAGATTGTCATGTTGTTGATTTTATGTAGCCTGTGTTTACACTAGTAAGTCTGCAACTGTTTCCCTAAGGGGGCTGCAAACCTCTGGGCAGGTGGTCACCAGGAGCGTGATTTTTTAGTCAGGCTAGATTATTAGACCAGGGATTTAGTCATTTTTACGATACGTTGTTACCAGTTGTTAAGTGAGCACACACTGTTTACATACACTATTACTGTTCTCAGTCTGCAAAATATAAAACTTCACGGAGAATTGTCGCCTATGGACACTTGTTCTTGTTCTGGGCGAAGGTAATGAGTACACTGTAGAGCACACTAGCAAAATTCACGAGGACTCTGTTAATGTAATTGGGAAGATAGCAGTTTTGAAGATAACAACCCACTTCACTTTGTTTGAAAACGAACACTACACTTCATTTCTCTGGATCCAGAAAGCAGCGCAATTTGTCTCGTCTTCATCCCAAAAGGCACCGAAACTCTGAAGCATTGGGCCATTCTGAATCCAAGAAAGCAAAGCACTTCTCCTTGTTCAAAAGCACCTTTTCATAAAATACAGTACACAACTTCTGTTTGTCCCAAAAGCATTCGCCGCCCACACAAAGTCACAAAGCCTTTTTTTGTCTTTCTATTTAACAAAAAAAAAATAATAATAATAACATCCTTCGCCTTCTCTCTTAGTCCAAGACAATAAACTCCACCATGTTTGCTAGACTAATCTTGGGTTGTTTGTCACACGGCATTGCGGAAAAGCTACCGAAGGAAGACACACCCTTCAGGAACAACAGCAACCTGTCCAGGAAAACTCTACACGTCGAGTTCCTCCTCAGAAAATGCCAAATAAAGCTGCATTGGCTGACTGAAAAGGTATGTGTCTGTAACTGTGAACCATTAAATAAATGTGAACTGCATGTGTTGCGTAAATAGTTTGAATCTGAGGGAAATACGAGATACTGAGCGAAAGTTACTGTGGAACTAGAAAGGCCAATATTTGCTTTGGAGCAAATACAGCGATGGGTTCACCACATTTTACGACATGGCAGGGAAAGAATGAGAAACACAAGGGAAAACAATGATTTACATTGATATAACTATAATATGAAGTAACATACAACTAAAACAACAGTTGGATAGCTATTCCCTACTTTATTGGTTAGGATTTTTAATTGCATAATGCAAACTGTTGATTTTCAAAATAAAAAAAAAACGTTCATGCCCCGCATTCCAATGCTGGAGCAGAAAAGCTTGAAATACCTACTAAAACACTTGAATAAAGACATATACTGTCAGTATGGAAATGCTCTGTGCAGGTGTTATTAACAATCACATAAACTATGAAGCCATACATTGAACAAGCTATACATATAATATGATTATCATAACCTTTATTTTTAAAATCATGCCAGTGAGCTAATTGCATGTACAGAGTGAAAGAAAGTAAAGTAAAGCAGTAGAATTTCTGTACTAGCTATGATAGTACTTCATATGATTCGTCCTCATCGTCATTATTCAATGTGGTCTATCTCTTGCTACTAGTGACTGGTAATACCTCTGTAGATTCTTCACACTGGCAGAGTACCGTACTCATTCTCTCTTGTCAGCTCAATACTTTTGTGACAACATCAAAGTGATTTTAGTTTGTATGTTGGAAAAATACAAAAGACTAACATTCTAAGTTATTGACATTCTTGAGTAAGAACAATCAGTTTTTGAATGTTAAAAGCAAAACAACGAAAATAAAAAAAAATGTTGAAATTGTTAAAATGCAGAATTGTTAAAATCGTTAAAACTGATAAAATTGTTAAAAATTATAAAATTGTTAAAAATGTTAAATTGCTAAAAATATTTATGTCCGATGCACTGGGGTTCGAACTTGCAATGCCTGGGATTGCCGCCTTGCGCGTTTCCAACCGAGCTAACTCGGTGCGATACACATCACTCACTGCATTGTATGTCATAAAAAGTAAACAGCATGGCGGTATCGATCGCCTCAAGCCACCAAGACTTTCAACTATTAACTACGGGGTTTCCTTCTTTATCAGGTTTGCTTTTGAACCACCTTGATGTTACTTAACTATCAACCCGGCTAGCAGAAGCCGCCGGCTCCTTTGATATTACAGCCGCTCCCTGTCCAATCTTGTTTACACGCCGGGCGCAGGTCATTGACCTCCAACTTGCGTTGTTCCAACAGAGAAGAGCAAAATGTCTGGCTCCCGCAGAACGTACCGCACTCTCCCGCTGGACGTACCGCACTCTCCCGCAGAACGTATCGCACTCTCCCGGAGGACGTCCCGCACTCTCCCGAGGGAATCCCGCACAGCGTCCTGCACTCTCCCGCAGAACGTCCCTCGAAAATTGATGCGTATTTCGTGGCCTGTGCTGTACCTACCAAAACACTTGAGTTCATACTGTCAAAATGGAATGGCTTTGAACAGGTGTTAATTGAGTTAATCCAATCAAATCCAACAGCCAATCAGCAAGAAGAAAAGATTAGGCTG